TTGCATAGATGTACACCCCTCATGATATTGTACGCATTCTTTCAATGTCGTTGTGTAGAGCGCTCGCTCCGTGATCGGGAGGTCGTGAGTTCGTATCTCGGCCGCGACTGACCTAGTCGTTAAAATGGGTAGCAACTGTTCATTCGCCATGCGCTTGGCACTTTGAAATGAAAGCTGCGGGTCCTTCGGATGAGACCTTAAAAACCGAGGCCCCGTGTCAGCGGCAGGCGTTGGCACGATAAAGATCCCCTCACTGCTCAATGGCCCTGAGTGCCGAGTAAAGGTCAAAATTTGAGGCCCTTCAACGGCATACGGTGACGTCTCCATATGAGTGAAAAATTCTCGAGAGGGACGTTAAACAATATACAATCAATCAATCAATGTCGTTGCTTCTAAAGTTAAAATGAAAATTCCGTATTCGTCCACATTAACTTCAAAATATCAAACATTAAACTCTTCATCTATTTCAATTTATATCAAATCGCACATTGATATTTTTTAAAAATCTTATAGGCTACGTTTTGTTTTGATTCGAGGAAATGCGAACCGACATTGTTGACAGAAAGTCAAACGATTTGTCAATAGGATATAGTATTCATAAATTCAGATAATTTCAGTACTAGTGAATAATTCTTTTCAATTCTATACTTACATTGTGAAATGAGGTCTATAGTATTCAATTCTCGGATTTATGAAATTATCAGGTCTTGCGGTAAATGTATCTGATTCGGTGGAAAACCGTGAATAAAGGGAGGAAAAAAACATCTCCTACATTTTCAAAGTTGTTCCTTCCTCTTTGATCTGTAAGGGTCTAAGAACAACATCGATTTTACATTGTAAAAAGTTTTTTGTTTGTTTATTGTTGTTTTATTTAATCAAAGATGAAAAACAATATTTATATCGTATATGCACAAATTGTAATGAAGACCATTAATCCAATGTTATATAGCCAACTGTACATAATGAGAATTTCGGCAATGTAAAATAAAATTTTCAGAATAAAAAAAATGCTGCGCTTTGATTACAATTCAATGTATATGAAATGAAATGAAATGAAATAAACATTTAGGGATGGCATTTTATGTCTTGTTTTTTAATTTAATCGGGTTAATAAAAAGAAATACTTATTGATTGAGTATGGTACGCATAATCACAGCCAAGCCCCATATCCCATTTTTCTTTTATGATTGATATGTACATCGGGATCTTTTTATCGTCATTTTGACGCTTTATTTTTGACGTTAAATTTGACGTCACGTCAAACGTTCAATTAAAATCGCAAGAGTTATCTCCCACAGTGTGTTGTACGTCTTTAATAGACAACTTTTTTTAATTCATAAAAAGTAAACTTGTATTATTGGAAAAAGTTTGTGACATACTCATAAAAGTGATAAAATAAAAAAAATATTTTTATGAATAAAAAGTAAAGGTACTAACAGCTGACAAATCATTTTTTTTCTTCAAAATTCAATATAATTTTAAATGTCTTACTACTGAACTCTCTGTTGATCTTTGCATTTCAAAAAATTATTTTCCAGTAAGAAACAACCTCCAAAATAAAAAAAACCACCTACCAGACTAGAGACATATACGTATCCGAGTCGATCGGGTTAACAAAGATTTTCCATCCAGTTCCATGGTCCGACTTGGTAGCCGGAAAATACTGTATCACTGGACCCCAGACTTATCTTTAAAATAATATGTATTGTCACAAACGAACTACAACTATAATAAAAAAAATCTAAAACATTTTTTTTACCCAAAAGGAGCAAAAAAAAAGAATCTGTGATTTGAAAATAGAAAATGTACTAAGAACAGGGACGCTATATAAGGACCCTCTTTAATTTTTACTTCATAAATTTTGAATTAAGTTTGAAATTCATATTTTTTTTATTTCATGGCTCTTGAGAATAATTTTTTTTAAATGCCTTCAGTTTTTACTATCTCTGAAATCGCTCCCCTAATTGAAAAAAATTTAAACAAGTTCAAATCCTCTTCACCTAAAGATGTTCTGTCAGCAAGTTTGGTTGAAACTAGGCATTAAGTGGTTCTTGAAAGAAGATGAAATAGTAAAAATTAAGTTCAGCAACTACTAACAATATTTGATTGATTTTTTTTTAACGTCCCTCTTGAGAATTTTTCACTCATATGGAGACGTCACCGATGCCGGTGAAGGGCTTCAAATTTAGACCTATACTCGGCACTCAGGGCCATTGAGCAGGGGGGTTCTTTATGTGCCGACGCCTACCTTGACACAGGACCTACGTTTTTAAGGTCATATCCGAAAGACCCGTGACTTTCACTTCTAGTGTCGAGCGCTTGGTCACTACCTATGTTTACGCGGCGCCGCGAAAGAGAATTGAACCCGGGCCTCCCGATCACTGCTGCACGTTATCGATGATGTCACCCTTTCGTGTATATAAGCTTAAACTATATCGTCTCGACTGATACTATTTTTATATATGATTCGAAAATAATATATTTCATAAAACAGCTTATATAAATATGATTGTTACAATATTGATAACATGTAGTGCATATAAGAATTAATAATTGATATGTGACTTTTGATGATTTTTTTTAAAAAAAACATGAAAACAAGCAATCCATAACTGTAAGATATAAAAGTCCTCATTCTAATTAATAAACTAGAAGCACTAAGGAAAGAAAGCTCACTAAATGATACTTCGCCTCCTATATGATTACATGTACATTGGCAAAAGCCATGTTTTGCTCTGGGAGATCCATAATAAGTGTCAGATCAAAAGAAGGTGCACAATGGCATTATATTATGAAGAATCTGGGAAAGTATCAGTAAATTTTATTCAGTTGTTTAGAAGGAGTTTCGGATTATAAATATGGTTAGCATTCAATAATAAAGAAAATATTATTCAAAGGCAAAGTCTATGTTTTGCTCTGGGAAATCCGAAATAAATGTCAGATAAAATGTAATATAGGAGGTCTGTGGCAACGCACTTTGAAAAAATTACGCACTTTGAAAAAAATTTTCAAAGTGTGTCGAAATTGGGACAAAATCAACGCACTTTGAAAATTTTTTTCAAAGCGCGTTAAAGTTGGGACCAACTCAACGCACTTTGAAATTTTTTTCAAAGTGCGTTAAGAGTGTACATCAATATATTTTATCATGGAGACACTTAACGCACTTTGAAAAAATATGTTAAAACAAAAAAATTCTGGATTCAGATTTTAGTAATGGAAAGATCTTATTTGTAATTTATCTTTCAAAATACTTATGCATTGATTTACTCCCGTCGAGAAGAGAAGATGGATAGAAGATCTATCAGTCCAAATCTTTATCATTCCAATACATAGGCGTCGGTAACAAATAAAACGGGAGAGGGGAGTAATAAACCCCAAAAAGGACAAGCCGCATTTTCAATGCTTATATGATCTATATATTTTTCAAAAAATAAGTGGGGAGCTTAGCACCCTTCCTCCTGCCCTTCGTCCGGTTTCGATGCCTATGTTATACCCAAAACAGGTACATGTATGTATATGTATTTACATAACTGGTATGACGTTGAAAACTTTCAACAAATGAGTCAACTTAAAACAGATGAAAACTAAAAAAAATGTAAGTACAGTAAAACGTATGAGAGAGAAAGAACTTTCATAGTTTTGAAAAATCAAATTGCCCCCTTTTTCATAAGATAAATTCAATGCTTTAAGTCGTTCACTTTTAGCCCCCCCCCCCTTTACATCTACCTATTACAGAATAGAATTTTTAAACAGAAACAAAATAATGATATTAAACAATTATCTCTCTATTTTTTCTAGAAGACCACTTTCCTTTTTGTGACATTTATCAAAACCTAAGATATTTAAAATTTAAATATCTCATGTCCTGAAGTGACCTCTGACTTCATAAAAAAGTTATCCAACAAGTGTCAATTATTTATCATACCGATTATTTGTGATAACATTGATGAAGCTTTACTTTTTTTTCAAAGTGCGTTAGCTTGGTCCCAAATTTAACGCACTTTGAAAAAATTTTTCAAAATGCGTAATTTTTCAAAGTGCGTTGTAACAGAGGTCAAATTAAAGACCCGTTGCAATAAAGATTTTGTGAAAGTCTCAATATGTATAAGAGGAGTGGCTGATAAGAGTCTGATATATACTTATACTACAAAGCGTAACGGACGGACATCCCAATCACTATATACTTAGTACCCTCCCACTTTTCAAGCGAAGTGTGTTATAAAATACATCTTCAAGGTAAAGAGTGTTTCAGAAAAACATGCAACCATTTTGATTAGTTACATTTTTCTGGTATTTTAACCAATACCATGCACCAACATATTATATCGAGAGTCACAATTTCAAGATTTATTCTTATAAAAATGAAGTTGATCTAGCAAATAGATAATAGAGTATACTACACATGAAAAATGTAGGAAATAATATACATGTATATCTACTTCACAGGTGTTGCACTATTAAGAAGTTTAAGAATTTTTTTTGCCAGTTAAGATGCGGAGTGCATATTTGTCAGGGATGGGGTAATTGAATAAAGTAATTGTAATTGAGTGTAATTAATTACATTTTTCAGAGTAATTGGAAGTAATTTGTATTTGAGCGAGCCTTCAATTACAAGTAATTGAATGTATTTAAATACATTTCAAAAAAGGCCATGTATTTTCAATTACTTTTCAATTACATTTCAATTACTTTAGAAATGTAGAAACACTAATTTCAGTACTAAATGCCTGTATATACTTGTATATGTTTTGTGAAAATGTTTTGAGATTTTTTAAAAATAAAACTGAAGTATTTGAAATGTATCTAATTACATTTGTCTAGGTAGTTGAGAGTAATTAATTATATTTGAAAAAAATCAATGCAATTGTAATTGTAGTCATTGACAAAATTATCTATGTATTTGGAAGTTCATGAATTTAAATTTTTCAAAGTAATTGACCCCAACCCTGTTTGAATTAGCCCTGGGGTAAGACTCGGAAGGGAGGGATTTCAAAATTGTTTTATTTTACCTGTAGTTGTTCATGTAGTTGTCTTTTCTCATCAAGATTTCTTAAGATTTGGTTTGTACATTTTTTCCAGTATACACTACCAGTTTGCTGCAGGGAAAAGGTACTACATATGAATATTAATTACAATAGGTACTATATATGAATATAAAGCAATATAAACTGCATTTTTGAAAATTTTATTTTGCTTTTAATTTGACTAAAAGACATTAAATTGTTTCAGAAGAAAGACTTTTATACAATCCAATATACAATATTATATAAAAAATCATTTTTGTACAGAATGACAATAATGTAATTTGGTTCAATCAAAGCCTATAAATAGTTCTTACTTAGCAAATATGAAGAACAGAAGTATATAAACATTTTTTTTCCCCTTCTGTCATGGAAATAGTTATTTACAACTCTGTAGCAAAAATTCTGAAAATTTGCAGCTCATATTGCTTTAATTATATATGTACAGTTATAACGAAAATGTAATAACAACGCCAAGCGTAATAGACCTGGATTATTATATTTTGCATTTTTAATTTAATCGATCATCTGATAAATTGTACAATCTATCAACTCTATTTGAAGCCTCAAACTCTAAGTATCCCAAAGGGCCCCAAAAAGCATCAACTGACAAAGTTTGATGATACTAAAAGGGTTAGACTGAAGATATTTCAATATAGCTATAAAATACCATAAGTAGATCACGGTGACCTACTTTTTGGTTGAAATTTTCTGAGGACTCAAGAAGCATTAATTGACAAAGATTGATGATTCTAAACCAATAAGAAGACTAGTTGAGATATCTCAATAGGTCACCATGACCTACTTTTTGGTAGACATTCCCCGAAAACCCAAGGTGGATCAACTGACAAAGTTTGACGATTCTAAGCCAATTAGTAATTGAGATACTTTAATATAGCCATAAAATGTCAGAAGTAGATCACCATGACCTTTTTTGGTCATGATTCTCCGATATTGTAAGACCCATCGACTGACAAAGTGTGTTATTACATGTTGCGTTCTTCCCTGTTGCTTAATCTCAATGCAAAACGTATCAACGCAAAATGTAATAATCCAAAAATCTTATTATTATACGGCGCCGCTGGAGGGCCAGGTAAAAAAATATTTTTATTTGTTCGGACAAATTAGAAATTCGTTCGGACGAATTAGTTATTTTATTTGTTCGGACAAATTAGAAATTCGGACAAATAAGTTATTTGTTCGGACAAATTAGATTTTCGTTCGGACAAATTAGAAATTCGTTCGGACGAATTAGTTATTTGTTCGGACGAATTAGATATTCGTTTGGACGAATTAGTTATTTGTTCGGACGAATTAGATATTCGTTCGGACAAATAAGTTATTTGTTCGGACAAATTAGATATTTGTTCGGACAAATTGGAAATTCGTTCGGACAAATTAGATATTTGTTCGGGCAAATTAGATGTTAGCACAAATTATCCTGTAAAGAGAGATACACACTTTGTCTATTCAGGAGGATTAATCCTTTTTTAATTCATAAATAGTTCTTTGGACCATGACATACACACGCAGCAACTAGACATGTGATATTAAAGTCGGGTATGTTGATTGTAAATATTCGGAAATAATGGATCTATACCGGTATATATTATAGGCCTAAATTCTGCCATTCTGAAAGTATATTTTCTGAGAGCCCACTAGTAAATTCAAAGGGTCAATTACTTCTTATCAAACATCTTTTCACTCCCATCCCTGACTAATACTGGGGTGCCAGTGGTCAGTTACCGCTTCTTTGAAAAGATGAGATCCACTCCTTACATGTAAGGTTTTACTCCTACTGCAGGCAATTGGTACGGGAAAAAATTGGCATTGAAAAAGTAAGCCCCCCACCCCCACCCCACGAAATAGGACTGTCAACTTTGGGCAACTTTTCCTGAGTCACCCCCTTTTTTTTTGCTTGTCAACTTTTCAGGTAGCTATTTTTTTCTAGCCCCCCCCCCTTTCAAAAACGATGCTACGTGGCTGCATTATATTATATTGAATAAACTTCGGACTCAAAATATCGAGCCTCTTATTCGAGGGTCTTAATCTTTTTAAGGTGGGGCTTACTAGCTAGGACATTTGTAGATTTGCTTCTATACCGCTGTTCCCACATTTAAGTATTTTGTGATAAAGGAACAAAAATAGGGAATCTCATAAGTCCATCTCCAATGGATTTTTTCTAAGATCGTTAAAAACTATTATTAAGTATCTATATAAATTTTATTTTATATTTAAATATCAAAAAAGCGCATGAATTAAAACATGCAGGTATAATTTTGACCAAATTAAACAAACGCCCCTTTCCGGGAAAAGGATAAAGATAGATGAATACATGTACGTTCCTAGAAAGTGCAGTAAAATTTAAAAACACATCATTATTTAATGCAAGTTAAGGTTCTCAATGATTAAGACAATCGATCGTTTTTTAAATAGAGGAGGGGGGGGGGATTGTTACTTGAAAATGTTTTGACATTCATTCATGATTTATTTTCCCCGTAAAAGGGGTTGCTTTCATAATTTCCCTTTCTATGTGAGTCACTGGCCTATCAAACCTTCGAACTGGTACTCAACTGTAAAAGCGTTTAAACAAAATTAAGAAATGCTGAAAGTGAAATTAAATAGTTTGTTGGACTACATGCACATCTCCAATAAGGGGAGGGGGCTATAATTATGCTCTGAAAATCAATGGACTAGAGAATATACCAGATTGACCGGTTGACATCTTAATTCACCGGCTCGCGAGTCATAGGTAACAACCTGGGATCAATACGAACAGGTTCATTTTTGTGAAGTTTTCTTAATTCACAAACAGGAATATTTAATTGACTTAGTGAGGACTTTTTTTCATTTTATATACCGCATATGTACCATATTGATTGAATGAATGTTTTACGCCGAATCGGCAATATTTCAGCCACATATCGGAAATATATGTATCAGAAATGCATTTCAAAAACCATTCACATGTCATGATTAATAAATGCAGGGTAGTGAATATGTACATAAAAATTATAAGAAAGAGATCAACATTAAAACGACTTATCTTCAAAATATTTATTGATAATGGTGTTCATTAAAGTTATTTTGCAAAGAATCAAACTAAAATAAAACGTCTTGGTGCAAATCGCACATTAATCGCTGTGTCCTGACAGTTGTTCACAATTTCTCTAATTTGTCCGAACAAATAACTAATTCGTCCGAACGAATTTCTAATTCGTCCGTACAAATAACTTATTTGTCAAAACGAATTTCGAACTTGTTTTCTAACAAATATCTAATTTGTCCGAACAAATAACTCATTTGTCCGAACAAATTTCTAATTCGTCCGAACGAATTTTAATTTGTCCGAACGAATATCTAATTCGTCCGACAAATAACTAATTCGTCCGAACGAATATCTAATTCGTCCCAACAAATAACTAGACTTGTTTTTAAACCAAATTCTAATTTGTCCGAACGAATACTCAATTTGTCCAAACAAATATCTAATTTGTCCGAACAAATAACTTATTTGTCCGACAAATATCTAATTCGTCCGACAAATAACTAATTCGTCCGAACAAATAACTAATTCGTCCGAACGAATTTCTAATTTATCCGAACAAATAAAAATATTTTTTTTACCTGGCCCTCCAGCGGCGCCGTATTATTACATTCTGCATTACTACATTTTTGTGTTGATCTCGATGCAAAATGTAATGACACAAAATGTAATAATCCAGGTTTATTACATTTCGCATTGTTATTGCATTTCGCATTGCAATTAAACACCTGTTTTATTCTTATTTATTTCCCCTATTTCAATAATTGTTAAATCAATGATAATTAATTAACTTTAACAAGTTCCCAAAATTGTGAAGGAATTATAATTCAAAACTTCAATAATTAAGGAATTAATATCAAGATACAATTTTTGGATAAGATATTCATGTACATGTAGAAGATGTCACACCTGCCCTCCTCCTGAAATGCACGCCACTTTGTGAAAGGGAAAACCATTCTTCTTCATTCTATCAAGCAACAAGTCAAATGCCTGTCAAAAAATGCATATTATATATACTAACATGTATACGGCATGTACAGTTGCAAAACATTCCTACTCTTTTAACCAAATCATTTAAGTAATTTCGTGACTACATTCTGAGCTTTTTAAAAGAAATTAACTTATATAGAAAAACATGAAACCCTGAAACAGTATTTATTATACAGAACATACCATGCAAATAACTAAATTAAACCATTTCTCAATTATTGGATAACTTGTTCCTAATATTTTAAAATCTGGATGTCAAAAATTTACCTAAATACAGAATGAGATATATTTTTCATTTATTTAATGTTTTCTATTTTTAGGAACATTGGAAATATTTTTATTATATAATAAATAGTGTTTGGGGAAAAATATTTTATTAGTATAAAATGGTATAGTGGTCCTAAAATTAATATTAGGTTAACATATAGGCTACCATGGAACTTAAGGTCCTTTAAATGACAGGTAACCTTACCTTGACCCACATGATAGCAGGGGCAGTAACTGTGACATTATCATTGTGGATGTGCACCCCTTCATGAGTTCTAAAACAATATTCCATACATTCTATAAAATATTTTCATGTTTTAATTTAAATTTCAAACTCATCATCATTAATTTTCTGAAAATTTAATAGTTTCATTGCCATTTTTTCCTTGAGTTCTAAATAATAATGTTTGACTGTAGATAACAATGTTTGACACACTTATAGTTAAAGTAGTATCTGCCAGGGAAGAGAAAAAGTTATTCAATATAAACATCCTCATTTTTACTTGAATTCTGGAAGATCCGAGTTAAACTTGACTGCTGTTTCATTTACAAGTTGCAGAGAGTCGTTTATTGCTTCTGCCTTGATCTGTAAAAAAGGAAAAAAAATACCTTCTTGTGTCATTAATTTGATTGAAAAGAGGATGTATTCTTAAAAACATACAAAAGCATCATCATAATTCCCCATAGATCCGCCTAACAGTTTTTTTCATATTTAGATCGGGATCAAGATCTTATAATTTGTTTACAAAAGTAGAACTTTGGTCAAGTGACAAGTGGTTTAAATGCAGCTATATAATAAAATGCATTCACCTACTTGTTGTGTGCTAAAATCAAATCCCAGAAACAAGCGATCTTGACCAGCGTCCATCGTTATCTGCCGAGGCTGAAAACTGGGTCATTCTACGATTAGGCTGTCCCTAAATCCCGGGGGCAAGCGGTAAATCTAGTCTTCCCGACTCCCGACGGTCCCAGATTTTGGATTTTTAGCGATTTCTTTTTTACCTGTGCACATAATTTATTCAAAACTTTTCAGGAACATGGTTTCTAGATTCTCTAGGTTTAAATAAATTCAACTTTAGGAAACATCCGCATTTATTATAAATCTGACATTTTTGGATATTTAATTTATCATGGTTTATATACACACGAGATGATTAATGTTTTTATTGTAAATAAAAAAAAAAAAAAAAAATTGAATTATCTATGTGCTAAGAACAGAATTCAATTTCCATTGATTGTTTTAATTCAGAAAAAAAAACTAGGCCCATCATTAACAAGCTTTATGCAAACAGGTTTGTTGAATTACTTATCAGTCATTAAAGCGCAAAATTTCACTTTGACGCCGGTATATTATAGACGGTAGAGATTGGTCAGGATTATTAAACACAGTGATTACTTAGCTCAAGAATTTTTTATTACCGTTTTTCTTTCTATCCTTTCCTTTCCCCTTTTTCATGTTTTTTATTCAATAAAGATAAGATTGTTTTATACATCCGATTATATAATGGGGGGAAATATCAATGAAAAGTTGAGGATGTAATTATAAACAAATAAATCAAAATACAATTTGCATTTTCAGCATCGATAAGCAGCTAGCTAATAAGGCTTTAATTATAATTTCTTCATTCAAAATCTGCTGATTAAGTTGCATGGTTTATTATGATATTGTTAACCTTTTGTACTAGAAACAAAACACACGCATTTAATTGATTCAAACTTTTCCCACATTGTCAAAAAAAAAAATTTCGTTAATAAATAACCATGCTGATTTGAATATTCAGTGAATAATTTCAACTGTTCGACCCCCACCCCTTCCCCGTTACAACGTATTTTATTAAAATTCTGTGCCTGAATTTGTATCAGTCGTCATTTTATGTAAATCTTGATTGATTAATTATCTCAATATATTAAAAAGAATTAGAAGTAAACACCGTTTCCATAGCATGCATCTGTGTGAACAGAAAATAAACTGTACAACATTTTTTAGTGTCTCGATCCATCGTTTGTAGAAAGTCTTTCTCTGTTTGGTTAAAATAATATTTCGGGTTTTTTTTTACTGCATGACAATTTTATCATTCACATTTACATGTATAATTAAAACTAGTTTTAAAGTGCAGTCTTCACCCCATCCACTTTCCCTTGCAGTAAGATCGAACCATTCCATGTCACTGTATTCATTTTTTTTCTGTTGAAAATACATGTAGAATGCCCATCTCCAATCCGACTTACTAGTATGTTAAATTTTGTCGAAGTTTTTGGTAATTTTTATTTTTACTTGTTATGTCCTCCCCATTTATACACACTTTTAATTTGCTTAGTGTCTGATTATTAAGCTCTCATTGCCTCAGTGCTTTGATCAATTTAAAAAAAATATTTGGGGCTTATTATAGTCAAAAGTAAAACAGAGGGAATGGAATTTTGAAAAAAAAGTTTACAGATTGAAAAAGGACAGAAGATGGACATTTTTCCATCGCATAAGCTTTTTTGGTATCTGTCCAATACAGCTAATAAAAGCATCATACAAAATATGACCCAAAAATAGGTTATATTTGCTTACAAGGTCATTATAACAAACTTGAAAATGTAATGCAAACTTTTAACAAAGTTACTGAAATCTCAAAAAGTGATGTTGTAGGTTAGCTCACAGTCACGAGGAAATGATGACAGCAGGCACATCACATCACGGAGTAGGGTGCATGAAGGCCCGTTTCCAGACATAATCATTTTACTATAAAAATATTCATTAAAAGAACTATGTGCATGAAGCTCCTGTTGTTTTTAAAAAATAAAACCCCAATTCTGTAGGATTCATGAACTATACATTGAACTGGTATTCTTGAAAAGTGTACAATCAATTTATTGTCCATCATAGGATGAGCTATTGGTACATAATTGATTTAACATTCACAATGAAGTGATCCATCACAATCGCATAACAATGATTTAAATTATACAAGAAGGAGATAGCACCAATTGTAATTAAAAGGGGATTCAGCTACCATAAATAATGAGCAGACTAATTAATCCTACACATCTCTCTGTTATTGTTGGTTGGCAACTTCTCGCTCTAATTTTCTGTACCTCAAACTCATTTCCTTATAGACCTAAAAGATAGAAACACAATTTAAGTCATGAAGTATAGAATGGTTTCTAGGAGACAGTGTTCATACTCAGTAACAAAGATTCCCAAAACATAGGCGTTGGAAGCAATTTGAAAGTGGGGGGGGGGGGGGCTTAACACCAAAAAAAAGTAAACCTAATTTTCAATGCCTATATTATGTCTATCTTTGCAAAGAAAGTAGGGGGGGGGGCTAACTCCCCCCCCCCTCTCCTCGGTTCCGACGCCTATGCAAAACATATTAATAGGTGCATGTATTCAAATGATATGTAATGTACTATTTCTAATAAGTTTGTTTTGAGTACCTGTACATGAATCGGCATATTCAAAACATGTTACACAATTCTGCAACATATATATTGATTTATATATGATTTCTTAGCAGTATTCATAAACTAGCATATCAATGTTCATGCCAAAGCCACAAGAATATAAAGCTTGCTTATTTAATAACACATACAATATTTACAGAAATGTATTCCTTATACAGTAAATCTCATTTAATACGAACACAGATAGTGTGAATTCACAGATATACAAAGTTATCTTGGATCCATAAGTTTAACGTATTCCTTAAACTGACATAACAAATTACGGATTTAGCAAAGTAATTTCACATGTCTCAGTGATTTCGTTATAACCAAGTTTTACTGTATTTTGTTTTCAGGGGGGTTAACTATTGTTGGGAGTATAACTATTTTAATTCATTATAATTTAATTCTGGTTGTAACGCTGTATTTGATTGGATAAAAAATTACTTTATATTGTATAAAATGGGTTGCCTACGTCACAATCACTTGCGTCAAAAACGTATCAATCCGCCTGACGTTACATTCAAATTTTGTACAAACTGAAGTCATTCTGTTAGAACAATCATCTTTTTTTCTTACATCACATGAATGAAAATTAAATAATAAGCAATGAATTTAAAAGCTACCCATTTTTACGGTATAAACTGGGTTGGAACATTTTACGCTTTTTTATAAACCGCTTCGCGGTTTATAAAGCGTGAACTGCCCCAACCCGGTTTATACCGTATAAAATGGGTTGCTATTAAATTTCCTTAAATAATTTAATATTGTTGGTATTCTCGCCTCTCATCGGTTAATTTCCAAAAAGAACACAAATTATTTTGTATAATCTGGTTTGGTATGGGGACACATCCCCTGGCCTTGACGACCAGCTTAATCATCTTATCCATGCAATCCCCTTATTTCCAGTCCTCGGAATCCATGGAAAATTCTATATTTAATGAATGTACCTTCAACTTCGAACAGTTGTTCGATCTTACCTCATGTAAACAAGCATCATGGTTGCTAGATCTATGAATCAGTTATTACCTCCCCTCGCTTCCCATCACTTCCGTTACTACGGTTGTATTATTGTGCGGTAAATTTGAACTCGTAAAAAGAAACACAATTTTACATCCAAAGTTGTTTATTTTAAAATTAAATTATAAGGAATGACTAATTCTTGGCCAAATTATCGAGTATAATATGGTTTGGGTCAGTTTACGCTTTTTTATAATCCGCTTCGCGGATTATAAAGCGTAAACTGACCCAATTAAACCATATTATACTCGATAATTTGGCCAAGAATTAGAGTCATTCCTTAAATACAAACCTCACTAGCGCCCTCTGTCGGGACTGCCACACACTCTGGCTGGGGGTGGTTCTTAACAACATTTGAGAAATCATAACCATCAAGTCCTGTAAAATAAATCATACACTACCAATAAGACAACTGAAGATAAGGTTGTTTATTTTGACAAGCTGAAAGATGTTCTAATTCTTCATTTTCTATTTGCAGAAGTTAAAAATCCTTACTAAGATTACAAAAAATTATCAAATCAAATTTTATACAATTTTTGAAAAAATCTATTTTTATCTTTTTTCCTTTTATAAAATACATTTGAATTTAAATATAGATGTTGGTGGAGATGGGAAGTTTGCATGATTAGTACATGTATTATTAGTAGACAATTCCTTCTGTATAATTAGGGAATAACTATCTTCTAATTTGGTATTTGCGACCATTAATGCTGATTTAACGGTCGCAAACTGAGTTTTACCGGTGATGCAGATACACATTTTATTAAATGCTACTTCGTATACATTAAAAACTAGAGAAAATAGACTACTGGGTATACATTATTGAGTACACATTTCTAACTATATATACAACATACACTACTAAGTACACATTATTTCAAGTTAAAAATACTGAGTAAAACCTAATTTACACAAGTATAAGTATATATACTCTCTGAGTACTCACTATTGAGTATACACTACTGAGTACTCATGTCCACTTATACACTACTGAGTAAACACTGAGTAGACTCACCATGTTTAGCTCTGTAACAGGAGCCAAGGCCGGCTGAGTTTGGCATATCACTCACAAAAACAGGTGCCCCAAACACATCTGATATAACCTAGGAAGATAAGACCTACAATTATATAACCCAGAATGATAAAACCTACTAGAGAGATAAAACCTAGAATTATATAACCTAGAATGATACAATCTAGATTATTACCAAACCTACTATATAAATTGTAATAAGGCATTTTGAACTGTTTCACGATTTCTTTTATGTTTTTGCGTGATCATGAAACAGACGAACTGTTGACTGGGCCACAGAATGAACTGTTGCCTGTTTAAAGCGTCATCGTGATATTCAAGCGTTTTGATGGTCACGACATCACTATTTACCTGCTATATAATTAATTAAATTGAAATTAAACACACAAATAATCAATCAATCATTTTATAAGTATTACTTTAAATTATTAAATATTAATTTAATCTTTATATTATGTGTTCAGCTAATTAATAGACAAGTATGTGAATAAACAGTTGTTAAAACTCTTTATTGATTGTTTGTGTGTGTTTATTTCAATTTTATTAATTATATAGTAGGTAAGGTAATAAAACACTTATTCAATGACTACTCGGTTAAACAGTCAAACTGTTGTCCCGAGGTAGTGGGGAAGGCCCAGTTTGACTGTTAACCTCGTAGTCATTCAATAAGTGTATACTGATATAAACTAGAATGATGTAATCTAGAATGATATAACCTGTTAATTGAAAATACTGCTTTACCTACTAGTATGAAGATGGCAAAATTTAACTAATCTCAAATTAAATTTCAAAACAATAGATAGTACATGTACATTGTACATTGTAGGTAAATCAGAGAGGAATGCTATTCTTACTGTACAATCCTTTGTAATATACAGCTTTTTGTTACTGTTGGTTTTAAAACCAATGCCAACAAATTCTTAAGATTTCATCATATGCAACTTCAAAAAACAATTATAGTTTCATAATTTCTTTGAGTAGTAGAGTATTAGATTCATATCAGACTTATCAACTAGGGTTTTACCCATGACAATGGATTTGATTCCCAGAATCTTGTAGCCTGCTTATTGATTTAAGGAATCACTGTCTAGTTAGTAGAGTACGCCTGTGAATCAAAAATAGTTGGAAACGTGGGATAATTTGCATAACGGGCACAAAGCCTGTTATGCATAAATTATCCCACGTTTCCAACTACTGGTATATTATTGATGTCCCTGGCATACTCTACTAACTAGACAGTGATTCCTTATATTTCCATTTCATGGTGAAATAAATTTCTAGATTTTAAAATGTAGACTAATAGATTTAAATTACAAGACCGAGGCCTCCAGTGTCAATTTCAATAGTCCCCGCCACAAACACAAAGAAGCTGCACAAGATTTACATGTATATTAGGCCTCCTTAGCTCCGGACGTATCGCTTGCCGAAATCTACATGCCAGACAAATGATCAATTAATCAAATCAACCAATTTTCAAAGATTTATCACAGAGAAATAAATAGAAATGGAAATGTATATTTATATATTTCCATTTCTAATTTTTTATCTCTGTGATAACTCTTTGAAAGCTAGTGGAGTTGATTTCTTGATAATTCTACAGGAATGTAAATTAGGCAGGTTGATAGGTCAGGAGCTAAGAAGGCCAAATATGCATGTAAATCTCCTGCGGCTGCCTTTGTGTTTGACGTCAGTGACCGAGGACTATTGATATTGGAATGGGAGTCCTCGTGTAATTTAAATCTTTGTCTACATCTTTAAAGTCTGAATCTACAATTTTTTTTCACAATGAAATGGAAATATAAGGAATCACTGTCTAGTTAGTAGAGTATGCCAGGGACATAAATAATATAGATGGAAACGTGGGATAATTTATACAGAACTGGCTTTGCCCATTATGCAAATTATCCCACGTTTCCAACTATTCTTGATACCCTGGCATACTCTACTAACTAGACAGTGATTCCTAAATGTCCTTAAACTTTACCTGCAGAATGGCCTTATTGAGAGAGGCACCTCCAGTGGCAAGTATTCGGGTGTCCAGGTCTGTCAAAGGATTTAATAAGTCACATGTACATGTGATGTATGTGTACTGATTTATTAATTTCAGAAAAATAAAGACTGATGTGACACATATAATGACATCTGCAAGGCATTCTAAAGGTCATGCTGAACAAAATTATTCCAAGATATCACATTAAATAATATTTGAGAAAACTTTGAAAAGTGGGACCATTTACTTTCAACTGATATATGCATGAAGAACAGGTTTATAACAATTTGAAAACTTTGAAATGAACATGTAAAATATCACAACAAGGAATTTTCTAAGAAAACTTAAAAATTAATTTATTTAAAGATACACAAATGTGCTTGCCCAAATGGACTTGTCATTAACATATTATACAACTGTACTAGTCCTAGTGATCTTATTGTCAACATAAAATGTGTTACCGTTATACATCCTACCTGTGTGCATTCCTCTCATTTCCATGTACATTTTACGAGCAATCATCTGACTTTCTATCACGGCTCGAACTTCTGCTTCTGGTGGGAAGGAGGCCACCTATTAATTAACAACAAAGATTCTTAGAGTAATACATGTAATTAACTCAAAAAAGAATTTTCCCCACTTTTTTCAAATCTTGATCCCTAGCTAGCATTTTTAATATCTTAAACTGGAATCAAGTTTCACCAAAAAAAAATCTGAATTAATATAGAGGACATGTATATTTAAATAAAAATTATAAAATATTGAAACAAATCTTGCACTTATACATATTTTGAAACCTGTAAATTTGTAAGCATTAAAGTACATCTCAAAAAGCCTTTAATTGCTGAAAGTAGAACCAATATCTAGTAAGACATCTTCAAAACTTTACCAGAAACAAACTATTTAAAAATAAGTTTGGAGGAAGGGGTAGGGGGGAGAATAAAATTACATGTACTAGCATGTCCAGGTTTTGTGGTAATAAGAAACAAGAGGCCCAGGGGCCACAGCACTCATTTGATCACATCGGATAGGAAAAAGCACATATCAGATCAGAACTGAAAGTTTACTGACGTTGGTGGGGGGGGGGGGGGGCTTGAATTTTAACCCCCAGGGGATCATGATTTGAACGAACTAGAATCTACATTACCTGAGGATGATAACATATAAATATTACTAATCATGGCTTTGAAGTACTTGAAAAGAAGATTTTAAAAGTTTTCCCTATATATTCCTATGTAAAACTTTGGTTGGCCATTTTGGCCCCATCCTAGCCCTGGGGGTCATGATTTGAACAAACTTGAATCTACATTACCTGAGGATAATTTCACATGAGTTTCAACTTTCCTGTCTCAATGGTTCTTGAGAAGAAGATTTTTAACAATTTTTATCTATATATTCCTATGTAAAACTTGAGTCGGCCATTTTGGCCCCACCCTTGCCCCGGGGGTCATGATTTGAACAAATTTGAATCTACACTACCTGAAGATGATTCCACATGAGTTTCATCTTTCCTGGCTCAAAGGTTCTTGAAAATAAGATTTTTAAAGATTTTTCCTATATATTCCTATGTAAAATTATTAACGGCCATTATGGCCCCACTCTAGCTGAACAAATTTGAATGTACACTACCTGAGGATGATTCCACATGAGTTTCATCTTTCCTGTTCCTGTGGATCTTGAGAAGAAGATTTTTAAAGATTTTTCCTATATATTCCTATGTAAAACTTTGGTCAGCCATTTTGGCCCCACCCTAGCCCCAGGGGTCATGATTTGAACAAACTTGAATTTACACTACCTGAGGATGATTCCACATGAGTTTCATCTTTCCTGGTCCAGTGGTTCTTGAGAAGAAGATTTTTAAAGATTTTCCCTATATATTCCTAAGTAAAACTTTGATCGGCCATTTAGGCCCCACCCTTCCCCCAGGGGTCGTAATTTGGACAAACTTGAATCTACACTACCTGAGGATGATTCCACATGAGTTTCATTTTTCCTATCTCAATGGTTCTTCAGAAGAAGATTTTTAATGATTTTTATCTATATATTCCTATGTAAAACTTTGATTGGCCATTAATTTTTCTCTTATTCAAAATCATCTCCCCTTGGAAAAGGACGTAGCCCTTCATTTGAACAAACTTGAATCCCCTCACCCAAGGATACTTTGTGGCAAGTTTGGTTGAAATTGGCCCAGCGGTTCTTGAGAAGAAAATGAAAATGTGAAAAGTTTACAACAACGACGACAGACAACAGACAAAGAATTAAGTATGTTACCTATTATACGTAGGCCCACTATTTCCTGTAATTTAATAAACAGGTTTGCCAAATTATAACATAGGTAATCAAAGATTACGAAGCTCACCTCGATGAATGTTATCAGTTTAAGTAATGCAAATCTCACATCATATTTTCTTAATATTAAGTATTCATCCCAACAACAATATTCTTGCAAGTTGTGTTTAACCCCTTACATCGCATATACACATTTCTATGCGTGTAGCGTGAAAAACACGTATCGTGTAAACAAATATTTATAACTGTTAATACTGCAGATATCAAGGACTTCAAGTTCATTTGGATTGATCTGTTCCCAAAACTTAAATCTGGTCTCTTGTATGGAAAATATAGGTCAGATCCAGCATCTGAAGCAAGTCTGATAGTGTCCATCCTAAGATGCATTATCCATGCAAGTTTGGTTTAGCTAGGGCTTATAGTTACTTGGGAATGAAAATGTAGGTCAGATCCAGCATCCGAAGCAAGTCTGGTAGTGTCCATCCCTAGATACATCATCCATGCAAATTTGGTTTAGCTAGGGCTTATAGTTACTTGGGAATGAAAATGTAGGTCAGATCCAGCTTCCGAAGCAAGTCTGGTAGTGTCCATCCCTAGATACATCATCCATGCAAGTTTGGTTTAGCTAGGGCTTATAGTTACTTGGGAATGAAAATGTAGGTCAGATCCAGCATCCGCAGCAAGTCTGGTAGTGTCCATCCCTAGATACATCATCCATGCAAGTTTGGTTTAGCTAGGGCTTATAATTACTTGGGAATGAGAATGTAGGTCAGATCCAGCATCCGAAGCAAGTCTGGTAGTGTCCATCCCTAGATGCATCATCCATGCAAGTTTGGTCCAAATAGGGCTTATAGTTCCTGTGGACCTGCTCTAAAAACTTTAACCTGGTCACTCATCTAGAAAATGTAGGTCAGATCCAGCATCCGAAGCAAGTCTGGTAGTGTACATCCCTAGATGCATCCTCCATGCAAGTTTGGTTCAGGTAGGGCTTACAGCTCCTTAGGAATGGACCTGCTCCAAAAACTTTAACCTGCTCCAAAAACTTTAACCTGGTCACTCATCTAGAAAATGTAGGTCAGATCCAGTTTCCGAAGCAAGTCTGGTAGTGTACATCCCTAGATGCATCATCCATGCAAGTTTGGTTCAGGTAGGGCTTATAGCTCCTTGGGAATGGACCTGCTCCAAAAACTTTAACCTGCTCCAAAAACTTTAACCTGGTCACTCATCTAGAAAATGTAGGTCAGATCCAGCATCCGAAGCAAGTCTGGTAGTGTACATCCCTTGATGCATCATCCATGCAAGTTTGGTCCCGGTAGGGCTTATAGTTCCTTGGGAATGGACCTGCTCCAAAAACTTTAACCTGGTCACTCATCTAGAAAATGTAGGTCAGATCCAGCATCCGAAGCAAGTCTGGTAGTGTACATCCCTAGATGCATCATCCATGCAAGTTTGGTTCGGGTAGGGCTTATAGTTACTTGGGAATGGACTTGCTCCTAAAACTTTAACCTGGGACGCCGACGCTAACGCCGACGCCAACGCCGGGGGTATAGCATAAGCTCATCTCGACTTCGTCGAGGTGAGCTAAAAAACCATGTGCATGTACTAGAAGATTGGTAGTTTTAAAATATGCAAAGCACAATTTCAACACTCCATTATTTAGATGTATACACCACGTTTAAAGATCCGTTTTTTCCGGAAATTGCTAGTTCTTCCACTTTTTTCAACAGATATTTCTAAAATTGAAGTAGTGAACATCCACACACACACACATAAAAAAATCAAAGTGAATAAAAGATATATCGTTCAATCGGAATTTTAAAATTTTATCGTGAGCAAAAAATTTGAATAATGGACTAGTTCAAGCTATAAATGTTCCGCTGACTTTCTTGATGAATCGTTTTCTCGCAAAAAGTAGCAAAATCAATGACCAACAATATTTCCAGCAAAGAAAATAAATTTTTAAATTAAGCGAAATTTAAACTCTGTCCACATTTTACGAATAGCTCACAAAGGGATCAGAAGAGTAAGCTATAACTTTTTTGACTTCAAAATTATTTTTTTTTGGCGCTGTATTGGGATTAAAACGTTGAAATTCGATAACGCCAAGTTGACGACGTCATAACGTTATTTTCTTACGAAAACTACCTATATTTGAAAAGCTCTCTTGAAGAAATGGTTTGAGATAATAACAAAGTGGTCACTCTAAACATGTTTCAAGAACAATTTAATAAGATTTTGGGACAGGGCGGATTTTTGTTCATACCGTACTTTCTTCTTTTGATCAGAAAAGCTCACTTGAACCTTCCGCTCAGGTGAACTAAAAAGCTGCATATAATAAATTAAATATACGTTGTTTCTAAATTCCTTATGATGTACCTTTTCATCCGATTTGTTGAACCGGAAAATTCCTTGTGATAATGGCTGAATCTCCATTACATCAAAATATATTCCTACATGAAGAAATTCAGATTCAATGCATAAAATATTTAATCAAAATACAGAGTATGCAGGAATTTTCCAAAAACAATACTTTTATCAAGGCCTAAACATTGCTGGAACTCTTCTTTTTTTAAATCAAAACTCTCAAAGGTGCTTCCTTGTTGAAGTAATATTTTACCTATATTTCCATTATTTCCCATTGGTGTGTTTTTCAAGTATTCTGAAAATTTATCCCACGAGCCTTCAGCACTTTCATCTTTGATTCTCTCTCTTGTGAGAGAACCATTCTTAAAGCTGGAAAAGAAATTTATTTGGTTGTTGGAAGAAAAATTGTCGAAAATTAAATTATATTCTAAATCTTATTTATAAAAAGTAAAATTACTAGAAATCTTACATTCAAACATTTATATCCACAATTGATGTTTTTTTCCTGAAATCTAGATACATGAACACGGCGGGGAATCTACGTCATTGTACGGGATTAGGACACACAACAATGGAGGACAAATGCTCCGCTTCGATGTAAGAAATTGTCATTTTTGCACTTATAAAGAATGGATATTAAATCAGTATCCTGCCTAGAGTATGCCAAAGAACGTCAACTAACAATATATATTGTACGTTTGTTCGTGATAGAATCTTATTGCTCCAAACACTTCAACACAGTTTGAAAACAAGTGAGAAAAACCCTTTTATTGTAGAAATTTACCGGTGTTCACTTGTGCAGATCTATACTATAGAGAGAGGGGGACCGAAGTCCGGAGATTGTGTTCATTTTATGATATTTCTATTTTAAGTTACATGACATCCCCCCCCCCTAAATAACAATAAAGTGCCCCGCCACAGCATGATACGCCCGTCAAATATATTGTTCATTTCAATAATCATAAATTGGTTAAGGTGCAAGAAAATCATAACCTTGATTAACACAGATTTCAATGATCTAATTTCCATTTCTTATCATGTTATATTGTACATACATCTCTAAGAGACTTACAGTGTAAGGATTAATTATAACAAATAATACATCATATAATTCTAAATTGGCTGTGTTAGAACTTAATAAATATCCATCTGCAGCTTTAAATTGTTTATTGCATATTTTATGGAATAATGGAAATGCTACAGTCTAATAAAAAAATCAAAAAAAAAACTATTCTTTAGAATACAAAATTCTAAGTGAGACATGACTGCAATTTGTTGCAAATATATAAAATTTGAAATGTAATTTTTTTTTCAATGAACACATGTATAATTAGTTCTAATTATATTATACAATACTAATTTAGTTTTAATAATACACTAAAACTTCAATTTGTTTTAATTACATTACACCAATTGAAAGATCTTAATTTATCTAGACTATAGCCATCAAGAACTCTTAATTAACACAAGCAACTGTGAGGCCGTTTCTTTTTGCCCAACTCCCAAGAGATAAATTAAGATAACTGCTGCATGATCTGTAGTCTTTAGATTACCAGTTAGCTCCTGACAATAAACTCATTAATTTCTCTCTAATTTGACATGCAAATTTCTACTACATTGTATCAATATTCTTCTTGACCAGTGCTTGATAATTATGCCCATGGGACAAACTGAATTCCTCTCAAAACATTTAATTTAACATTTGTTACAGATTGCTGTTCAAGAATATTATGAAAAAATAAGTTTTTACTTAATTTAACATTTTTTAATAAGTATTAGTTTTAATTGTATTAACCAATATTAATTTAGTTTTTATCATACACTGTATTTTAAAGCATCAATTTGTTTTAATTACATTACACCAACTGAAAGATCTTTTTCTGAACTAGCCATCAAGAACTCTTAATCAACACAAGCAACTATGAGGCCATTTCCTTTTGCCCAACTCTCAAGAGATTAAAGATAAAGATAACAGCTGCATTATCAGAGATCTGCTCTACCAGTTAGCTCTTGACAATAAACTCATTCATTTCTCTCTAATATGACATGAAAATTTCTGCTATCAAAATTCTTCTTGAGCAGTGCTTGATAATTATGCCCATGGGACAAACTGAATTCCTCTCAAAACATTAACATTTGTTACAGATTGCTGTAAAGTATATGATGAAAAAATAAGTTTTAACTTGATTTCACATTTTTAAATAAGGATACATCTATATTTTTACATTTTATAGGATCATGAAATCTAAAATTTTAAAGACTTAGTTTTTTTTTTAAAAATTCACTTAAATTAAAGGTCACAGTGACCTTGAAATATGCCGCGACACACCTTCTACCTAAGATGTATAATTTTGCCAAGTTTGAAAGCTCTAGGTCTAATAGTTTTCTAGTTATGAGCCGGACAGGATTTTTCCATATTTGGCCATAGCATCTTTATTAAAGGTTAGAGCGACCTACTTTTTGTGCGCGACACACACTCTACCCAAGAAGTATCAACTGTCAAAGTTTGATAATCCTAGGTCTAATAGTATTCAAGTTATGAGCCGGACACGAATGGACAGACAGACGGACGGACGGACGGACATGAAGCCTATAACATAATACGTCCCGTCTTAAGACGGGCGTATAAAAACAAAATAAAAACACACATATCGGGTACACATACACACTCAAAAAATAAGTTCTTTTTAGGTTGGTTGTTTACTTTATTGCTTGTCAAAATAGTTAAATTGGAGTCAGAAAATTCTTCGGAGTTTGTGTGGACCCCCCCCCCCTTCCATCCCGGAAAAGTTTCTTAATCTGCATATTGGTATTAATAATAAGATCTTCGGCACTAGCATGTCTTCTAATATGGGAAAGAGATCAAGAACTTTTGTTATGCTCAAATATTTGCAACAACTGACCCTCCAGGTGAATATAAGATTGTTTTCCCTACACATGCTACAATGGTCTAAAAACTGATCGGGAAATTCCAAATTGAAACAAATAGTTTCGGAAAGCTATTTTATTTGCTCCTAACTTGCATTCAGGTGAACATAGAATTAGTAATCGAATGTATGAAAGTGGTTGTCAGTGATGGGGAGCGCCAAAACAAAAATTGAAGTTAAAAATTGTCTTTTCATTGTTGCCAATCAAAGGTTTTTAGCTGTCATTTTTCTCTGATAATGCCCCCCCCCCCTCCAAAACTTATCCTATAAAAGACCTTGACATTATTTCTTTTTTTGGTATAGCTACTAAAGTTCTTTTTACAAAAATTCCCAATTTATACTGCTATTGTATTATTTATTAAACCCTGTTCCTATCATTGCTTTTGGCTAATATTCCAGCAAATGTAAATAAGATGGCATGAACTGTTTTATCAGTACGTAATATTTAATCAATTATTCATACATGTATAATAAAACAATAATTGTTGTTTTTTTTTCAATCAATACGATGGTTTAGCCACCTTCCAAGTACAATATTCAACTTTGTCTTTTATTATACGCCCGTCTTAAGACGGGACATATTATCTTATAGGCTTCATGTCCGTCCGTCCGTCTAGCTGTCCATTCCTGTCCGGCTCATAACTTGAATACTATTAGGCCTAGGATTATCAAACTTTGTCAACTGATACTTCTTGGGTAGACGGTGTGTCGCGCACAAAAAGTAGGTCGCTCTGACCTTTAATAAAGATGCTATAGCCAAATATGGAAAAATCCTGTCCGGCTCATAACTAGAAAACTATCAGACCTAGAGCTTTCAAACTTGGCAAAAGTACACATCTAAGGTAGAAGGTGTGTCGCGGCCTATTTCCAGGTCACTCTGACCTTTAAGTGATTTTTAAAAAAAAAAAAAAGTCTTTTAAATTTCAAATTTCATAATCCTAAAAGATGTAAAAATATAGTTGTATCCTTATTAAAAAATGCTAAATTAAGTAAAAACTTATTTTTTCATCATAATATTATACTTTACAGCAATCTGTAACAAATGTTAATGCTTTGAGAGGAATTCAGTTTGTCCCATGGGTATAATTATCAAGCACTGGTCACGGAGAATTTTGATAGCAGAATTGTGCATGTCAAATTTGAGAGAAATTAATGAGTTTATTGTCAGGAGCTAACTGGCAAGAGAATCTCTAGATCTGATCATGCAGCAGTTATCTTAATTTATCTCTTGGGAGTTGGGCAAAAAGAAATGGCCTCATAGTTGCTTGTGTTAATTAAGAGTTCTGATAGCTATAGTCCAGATAAAAGATCTTTCAATTGGTGTTATATAAACAAATTGATGTTTTAGTGTATGAATAAAACTAAATTAGCATTGTATAATATAAGTGTAATTAAAACTAATTATACATGTGTTTATTGAAAAAAAAATATATTTCAATTTTTATATATTTGCAACAAAGTGTAGTCATGTCTCACTTAGAATGTTATAGTCTAAAGAATAATTCATTTTTTTATTAGACTGTAGCATTTCCATTATTTCATAAAATATGCAATTAACAATTTAAAGCTGCAAATGGATATTTGTAAAGCTCTAATACAGCCAGTTTAGAATTATTTGATGTATAATATATTATAATTAATCCCTACACTGTTAGTCTCTTAGATATGTATGTACAATATTTTAAACATGACAAGAAATGGAAATTAGATCACTGAAATCTTTGTCAATCTGTTAATCAAGGTTACTTGATTTTCTTGCACCCCAACCAATTTATGATTATTGAACAATATTTGACGGGCATATTGACCCGAGTTGAAAATTGACCCGGGGGTCATTTTTCAACGTTGAATATTGAACCGGGGTCATTTTTCAACGTTGAATATTGAGACTAAAAGTCGTTGAATTTATACCCGGGGTCATTTTTCAACAGCTTGATAATCTTTTTTCTTACACCTGATGACGTCAACAAGTTGAAAATTGACCCTGTTGAATATTGACCCCACTTCAAAGTTTGAACATTTTTTTTTTAGCTGGGAAGTTGTTTTACGGGATTTATCAGTATCACTTTATTTATATTTCGGTTTCAATTTTTTCCCTTTTCAAGAATAATAGAAATAAACATACAGTATCACCCCGTGTATATATGTACATTTTGATCTGCACGGTTTCAGTTATCAGGGGCGTAGCAACAGGGGGCAGGGGCAGGGGTTTTAGTGATGTGTCGAAATTGAAGTATTAGAATTGGTACTGAAAGTAGTTGACACTGAAAAAAGTTAGCCTCTACCCCCCCCCCCCCCCCCCCCCCCCCCCCACCACCACACACACACAAGAAATAGGATTTTCGACTTTCAACTCCCCCCCCTTTTTTTTGGTTATCAACTTTTTCAGTTACGTAAAAAAAAAATTTTCTCCGGCTGACCACCCCCCCCCCCACTTTCAAAAACGATGCTACGCTACTGCTTCAAGCATGACCACTTTATTTTTGAAAATACTTTCCAAAATCCATGGCATCCATAAATTACTACAAAACAACGAATAGGTACGACGGCGTATGCGTGCCATTTTAACAATGTAGAATTTTTTTTTTAATCGTTTGAACGATTTAAGAAAACGTTTGTTCAATTTAATAAATCGTTTGTACAATTTGTTTGTTAATCGTTTGTACAATTTATTAAATCGTTCATACGATTTATCAAAATAGTTTGTACGTTTTTTATAAATCGTTTGAACAATTAAGGAAACCGTTTTTACGATTTAAGAAAACGTTCGTACTATTTTAAAAAATAGTTTGTACGATTTAATAAATTGTACAAACGATTTAACAAACAAATTGTACAAACGATTTATTAAATTGTACAAAAAATTTACTAAATTGTACAAACAATCTTTAAATCGTACAGACGAATTATTTAATCGTACAAACGACTTATTGAATTGTACAAACGACTTATTGAATTGTACAAACGACTTATTAAATTGTACAAACGATTTATTAAATTGTACAGACAATTTATTAAATTGTACAAACAATTTGTTAAATCGTACAAACGTTTTTTAAAATCGTTCAAACGATTTTTTTGAAAAAAAATTCTAAATTGTTAAAATGGCACGAATACGCCGTCGTACGTTTCCTATTCGATGTCATTATTATTTTAAAAAATCGGTTGCCAGTCGCTAATTTTGCCTTTCCTATTCGATTATTTTATCTTTTTTAATCGATGATTATTTGGTTTATATGCAATAAAGTTGTTGTTCGAAAACATACTACCATCATTTCTATTCGAAAAAAATACGATTCCTATTCGATAAACTTCTCATCTTATTACATAATTTTATCTCTATGATCTTCTATATGCGATGTTTTTTTTTTTTTTATTCTTTTTCAATAATTGCCATGATTGCATTCTGGGAAATATGACAAATTAAACTAGAATTGGTTGTAAAATCAATTAAATAGGAATGTAAAGTTTAACATTATTATCGAATATAAATCATTTTATCACATAGATTGACAAACAAAATTTGAAAATAATGGGAATAGGGCAGAAGTTTTCTCTCTTCAAGACTTAGAGACTAGAGATCAGCATAAATTAAGCTGTTGATATTTAATATTAAATAAATGTGTTTCGTTTTATACATTGATGGAGTAATTATAGAGGATTTAGTTATTCAGAATACTAATTTATTTAATTGATTATGTCTTGTATCAATTTTTGACAAAGATATCCAATATGTTTTAATATAAAGTACATTTTGATCCTAATTCAAGACTTAAAGGCATTGATACGTCTCACCAATTACGGAACATTAAAAAATATTAATACAAGTTGTAGTAATTTTTTTTCAGAAACATAAGTCATACTCTGTATTATCTTTAATTGAGAAATCAATACTATTTCTGTTTTACAAAAAATTATCTCCAGGCAGGGAGGGGGGGTGTCACTCACTTTAATGAAATTTTCTAAAAGGACTCCTGCAAAAAAGTAAACTATATGATCACAAGAAAAAAACATGAAGTCAATATGCACTTCAGATTCTATAAATAGTAACTCAAGTCTTTATGCTGTTATATACATAATCATGTGATCAAGTTTGAGCCAATCAGAGAGCTTAGAATTAAAGGTGATATCACCTTTTCGTACTAAATAGGTGCTATCACCTATTTGAATAAGTGGTATCACCTATTCGAAATGGTGATATTACCTATTTGAGTTTCTTACAACAGTCATTAATGAATGCTCCCTATAATATATATTATACTACACTGGAACCAAGAAAATTCAGACTACCCAGTTTTCATGCATTTTCTACGATTTTCTTGTTGTATACATGATATATAAGTAAAATAGATTAATTTGTAAGCAAAAAAAAAACTACTGGAAAAGGTGATATCACCCAATCGAATGAGTGACATCACCTTTTCGAATTGGTGATATCACAAATTCAAGCATATAGGTGATATCATCTATTGGAACAGGTGATATTTACCTCGTTTTAAAAATTGTATACATTGCTCTTGCGTATCAAATTAACTGAAGATATAAACTCCGTATGCAGGTGATGAAGGTATATAGTTGCATTTATGACAATTGAAAAGATTTTTAAAAAGTTAATGTTTATCAAAGAGCATGGTTGCTAGATTACTATTATTCAAATAGGGGATATTACTTTTTGCAAAATACCAAAACGGGGCCTCATACCTATGAATTAAATCACAGTAGTGAAAACCCAATCATAAATATGTGTTTTTATGCTGTTGAATTTTGAACCGGTTTCATGATCAAAATTCCACGACCCGGCTCAGTTTTCAACGGATTAGGGTCTAAATTCAACATCTTCGGTCTCAGTATTCAACGTTGAAAAATGACCCCCGGGTCAATTTTCAACGCGGGTCAAAATTCAACGTTACACCCCACATCCCGGGTTTTTCTCACTTGTTTTCAAACTGTGTCGAAGTGTTTGGAGCAATAAGATTATATCATGAACAAACGTACAATATATATTGTAGTTGACGTTCTTTGGCATACTTTAGGCAGGATACTGATTTAATATCCATTCTTTATAAGTGCAAAAATATCAATTTCTAACATCGAAGCGGAGCATTTGTCCTCCATTGTTGTGTGTCCTAATCCCGTACGATGACGTAGATTCCCAGCCGTGATGAACATCGTAAAAACATTCTAACAAACCTGATGTAATTTTGATGAGTCAAATTCATTTTCATGTGAAATTACTGAAATCTTTTTTTTAATTTTACTATATATATTCATTTATAAATATATATATTTTTCCATGTCAAAAATCATCCCCTGAATGATTGAAAAATACACTACCAGACTAGAGACATATAAGTATTGGAGTCGATGGGGTTAACAAAGACATTGCCATCCAGTTCCACTGTCTGACTCGGCAGCCAGGAGAATACTGTATCACTGGACCCAAGACTTATCTATAACAAGAATATGTATGATAATAAGTGATTACATATGGACTAAAACTACAATTGTGATATGTGTGATTTGTTTTACAAAGAATTAAATTTTTTCACAATTTTTTTCATCCAAAGGAGCAGTAAAAAAATTTTAAAGAATATGTGATTTGACAAGAGGCCCATGGGCCTTATAGGTCACTGAGTATCATTTAACAACTTTCCAACAATTGAATTTGATTGGTGTTTTTATTCAGAGGCTCAGGTGAGCTAATAAAAGACTTTTTTTTACAAAAAAGATATGGTTTTATAATGCTAGTAAACATATGTTTATCACCAGTGTCTTGTACTTACAATTGTATCACCTAGTTTAGGCGCCACTCCTGCCAGGGATGCTATAAAGATACAAATAATTTTGTAGATTTGATAATGCACTTGCAGTTAAGGTTCAACATACATGTTAACTCTCCCGATTTAGGCGGGAGTCTACCGCTTTTTCACTCCATCTCCCGCCTACCGATTTAATTCAGAAATCTACCGCTTTTCTACAAAAGCTGCGTCTAAAGTATTTTTGGTTCGCTTGGGTATCCATTTTCGAAGCCACTCTCATAAAATCTCGCTAGATAACGCGTGATTTGAACCGTTCAATCTTTTAATAAGAGAGGTAGCTCTCACTGAAAACAATCATTCCTTTAAACAATCCGTCAAGTAAGTCATTTCTGACAAATTTTGCACAAATGTTTTGCTGAAAATGTTTGTATCATAATGATAAATTTGATTTTTTTTGGGAAATGATTAATATGTGAAAAAACAAAACCTAGAAGGTATTATGAAAAAGGATGAAGGATCTGAAAGTCTTCTCAGTTTTTACAGAAGTAAGGATGTTTGTTTTTCGTGTTTTTATTCTAAGATAAAATGAGAGGGTTTTTCCTAGTCCTTAAATATATCTATGAAAATAAGGTCATATATGTATACTTAAAAAAATATTTGCCTTATTGAAGAAAACTTATTTACTACCAAATTTTACCAAAATACTAAAATACCTGGGTTATCTCCTGTAAAAGCCACAACCTTGCAATTTGGACTAAAGTTATATCGACCAATGAGAAACTGGCTCACGTTTCCCTATCAAAGATACAGGAAGACATGTAAAAATAGATTGAAAAATCAATGTACAATATTAGTCCTTAGAAATGCAGGGTATGAGGCAAAAATTCGATGAAGACTTTGTTAAGTAGCTATTTCTTGTTAAACTTACAATGACTTGTTTGGATGGCACTGGTTCTCCCAGCTTCTCACTCAAGTTTGATCCACAAGCCTTTTAAAAAAAAGAGAGATATACACATATCTACTAATTTCTGTAAATCATCTTTTTTTGCCCATTATCCAAGTACTTATTTTTTTATGTGAACACAATTCATTACACTATTTATTTAATCCCATCCCCCTGTGATCAAGGAAAAGGGGCTGCTAAAACAAAACCTAAGAAAAGAAACAAGCCAGCTTCTATGATAGACATAAAAAATGAAATAAAAAAGCAAATCTTGATTGACTGATGATCAGCATGCATCCAATTAATTGAAAAGGAGATAAATATAGGATAATTTGAAATGTGGAGGACTTAAAAATACCTGAAGACATTCTGGTGACCACTTCTTAGTTCTAATGTCTAGAAGGTTCATTCCTGACCCATCACTCAAATCTATTGGAGCATAATCTCCAATCAAAAGGGATGCTGCAAAACTACTGACCAATGAAATCCTCTGTAACATTAATGCAGACCAAGTTTAACAGGTGATCATAAAAGCAATGCATGATTTTGAGATCATTGGAGGTTAAACTCTCTGTACCTCAGTGTCATTGTACTCTGAAGGTCTTGTCTGAGAAATCTTCATAATCTGGGTGCCTGTAAACCTCTCAAAAGCACGAGAACCAGTTATTTCTGCTAGTTTCTACAAAATCAATATCTTTAAAGTAGTATAATTCAGGGGCAGAATTCGAAACTTTAACCGCTTACAAATCATTTGGTTTAATTTTAGATTGTGTCATTCACTAAAATGCTTTCAAGCTACCCAAATATCAATGAGGTTGGAGTTGCATGTTTTTAGATGCACTGCAGAACACTTTCCAAAAGTATGAACAGCTTTCACTGTAAGATAATTAAATCTTAGAAGACTATAATGAAACATACCAAGGGACCGCCTACTTTTTCTTCCAGTTCACGGCAGTTCTTTGTTGTACTGGCATCCATCCATATAGGAGAATCAGGGATCGAAAAACAGTTCTGTAATTTCATGTTATAAAGCCATATAATCCTTTAAAAATCAAATGCTATTTGTTTTTGAATTGGCCCTGGGGGTAAGACTCAGGAGGGAGGGAAAATACTTTATATTACCTGTAGTTGTTCATGGAGAGGTTTTTTGTCATCAAGATTTCTTAAGATTTGGTTTGTACCTTTTTTCCAGTATGCACTGCCATGTTGCTGCAAAGAAAAGAGTACCTGCAGATATAGATGTACTTGCACAGTGACACCTATTTTTATTCTTATATTTATCTCCCCTACTTCAGTTTAAGTGTTCAAAGCATTCACTAAAACATTTAATTTAGATACACCCAGATCCTTTTTATTAATTCTATTGATTCCAAATATTAGGGAGGAATTCTAATTCAAAACTTCCAATTATTATAAAGAATTAAGATACAATTTTTTGATAAAATATACATGTACATGTGAAAGGTGTCACACCTGCCCTGCCCCTGAAATGCATGCCACTTTGTGAAAGGGAAAACCATCCTTCTTCATTTTATCTAGCAACAAGTCAAAGGCCTGTCCAAAAAATGCAAATAATACAAACATGTTTAGTTGCAGAAAACATTCCTACCCTATCAACACACATCAAGTATTTTATGCCTATTCCACATTCAGCTTTTTAAAAGAAATTAACTCATCGAGAAAAGCAAGAAACCCTGAAAACAGTATTTATTATATAGAGCATATCATGTACTAATATAGTATAGTATTTTTATTTGGTATCATGTCATCATACATAAAACAAATACACATAATTATACTTGATCTTGTTACAGTTGAAAGTTGGTAATCAAGATTTTATAAATAAATAATTTAACATGACTAGATAGATACCAGGATAACCCATTAAAGCTCGAGAGCTTATTTCCAATGGGGTCCTAATAACTAAATAACTAATAATGTCCCAATTATTGAATTACTTGTCCATAATATTTTTATATTATTAATAACTGCATATGGATGTCAAAAATTTACCTAAATACAGAAATAAGATATATTTTTCATTTATTAAAACTTTTTCTATTTTTAGGAACATTGGAAATATTCAGTAGTGTTTGGGGGGAAATATTTTAACAGTATACAGTGGTATAGTGGTTCATAAACTAATTTAAATAATTTTAGATAAATATATATGCTATGGTACTTTAAATGACAGGTAACCTTACCTTGACCCACATGATACTAGGGGCAGTAACTGTGACATTATCGTTGTGGATGTGCACCCCACCATGAGTTCTAAAACAATATTCCATACAATGATACATTCTATAAAATATTTTCACACTCCAATTTAAATTTCAAACTCATTATCCTGAATTTTCTGACACTTTAAGAGTTACATTGTTTCATTGAGTTCTTGAGATAACAAGGTTTGACTGTAGATAACAATGTTTGACACACTTGTAGTAGTATATTCCAGGGTAGCTGCAATAATGTAGCCCTCTCCGATTTTTTTAATCTGATCCCCCCCCCCCCCAAAAAAAGGAGAGGACTACATTTGCAGCTAATTCCAGGGAAGAGAAAATTTTTTCCATCTATATAAAGTTAATCAAGATAAACATTCTAGTTTTTACTTACTTGAATTCTGGAAGATCGGAGTCAAACTTGACTGCTGTTTCATTTACAAGTTGCAGAGAGTCATTTATTGCTTCTGCCTTGATCTGTAAAAAAGGAAAAATATACCTTCTTGTGTCATTTAATTTGATTGAAAAGATGTATTCTATATTCTAAAAACCGTACAAAAAGTAATACACATGTATACGCCAATGAATTTCCCATCTGAGTTCCTCTTAGATCCGCCTAACAATTCTTTTTTTTTTTTTTAGATCGGGATCAAAATTTTTTGTGTCTTTACTTTTTCTAAATTTTGTTTGCAAATGCATAACTTTTGTCAAGTGACAAATGGTTTAAATGTAGCTATGTAATAAAATGCATTCACCTACTTGTTGTGTGCTAAAATCAAATCCCAGAAACAAGCGATCTTCACCAGCGTCCATCGTTATCTGCCGAAGCTGAAAACTGGGTCATTCTACGATTAGGCTGTCCCTGAATGGAGGCGCTAAAAGGGGAAAAGTATGCGTGCTGGTCGTGGAAAAAATTAAAACTTTCTCGAAATAAGACTGAGTACCAAACAAAGACATAGATAATATAATGCTTAATGTTATTATTTGTCTGGTATCAATTGAATATTATAATCATTTTTTGTGTGTTTATAATTTGTGTTTTTATTGAGAGATGCACAACTTGATTGAACCCCAGTAATTCAAAAGCGGTCATTTTTGTTTATATTTGTTTATATAAAGCTAATTATATTTTGACTCTGTTTATTTTCCTTGTGATTTCGTTAGGCTATAAGATATACTGCATGTTTGGCAAAATCCCCCCCTTTTTTTTTTTAGATCAAACACTCATTACCAAGTGATTACACTGTAAACTGGTAGAATAAAACCGAAATTTTGCCTCCTAATCTTTTACAGCAATACAAGTATTTTGCTATGAAAATGTGGTGATTTTCTTTTTATTTTAAACTTTGAAACTGTAAACTGCAGCCGTGGTAAAGGTATCATTCCGGGTTTTTAATAAGTGTCCGTTCACATTTACCTTTTCGTTCACTTCATGAGTTTCCTATTTTAGATTTTGGCGGTGTAGTGAAAAAGAAAACAAATTGTAAGATTGATTTGAAATGTTTGCACTAAATAATAGGCTCTAAATAATTTTTATCTCACGAAACACGAATTTTGTATTTCAAAGTTAATAATTTGCGTTAATTTAATACTGTAGTTACCGAGTGTTTTAGAGATATAACGTCTTGGGGAAAACTGTACGGTAATCCACGTGTGGTGCAATTTGTTTTAATCACACGTCTGTTTTATTATTATTATTAAATTTGTATTGTGAAAAAGAAGCTGTATATTGTATATTATAATATGTTTTACGGTGTGACTGTTGGGGTGAGCGCAGTTTATTTACTATCATAAACCTACACATGTACTGTCTATCATTCAAGAAAAAGAAAGAAAAAAGAATAAAACAAAACAATAACAAGAAATCATTTCCCAAGCCTCGGGATAAAGATTCCAAACCTCTCGGAAGTTTCCGACAAAATCGGAAATAACCGAACCGTTGAAATGACGAAAGTATGACGTCAGATAAAAATTTCTATTGACTTAGGACCAGACTTAGGTTTTATGGAATAGAGATTGCATTAAATCGTTCTTTTCAAGTAAGTTGTTGCTATATTTTAGCCACCATGTTGCTATGCACCGCAACATCCGAGTTTCACGGAAGCAACCGACATGACTTCGTCAAAATTCGTAAGTTTCCGGTGACGTCATTTGTTTCATTTCCGAAGGGCAAGGTGAAAGCCGGTGTTGTGGCATGGGGGTATTTTTTTGAATAAGGTAAGGCAAAATCATTTCGTTAAGATTTCGGTAAGAAAGAATGTTTCTTTAATTTTTTTACTATTTTTGATTTATTCGCGCAAAGGACATTGGGTAGTGCAGGAATTCTGGGAATGTTGCACAGAGAAATTTGGCTGACGTATGTACAGATTTCAATCCGAATTTCCTCTGTTCATACCCGTTAGTCTATTGAGCTCGCTGCGCTCGCTAATATTTTATGTTGTATTTTACTGTCTTTTGCAAAACTCGTGAAACAGGTCCAGCACAATCGCTTGATTAAGCTATATAGCTTTAAAAAGCTATATAGCTTTATTAAGCTATTTAAAATAGCTTAATAAAGCTATTCATATGCAGATTTTAACAAAAACGGTTTTAGAAAGAAGTAAACAAGAAAGTCGCAAGTATTTGACTATGCATATATGTACTTATGGCTATCAAAAAAACAACCTATACCATAGGAAGTTTTAACATTGCTGTTGTTGAATACTTTTAAGCAAAAGATGAATTTCCATTGTTTGAGTAACTGCACTGTTATATTGAGTGCGGTGAGGCGTGGATAAGTATGATTGCTTCTCATTGTGTTGAACTGTAATACCAATCAATTATCCTGTTGGCCATAACTGACCACCTTTATAATTTCATTCAAGAGATAACTGTGTGTTCACTCATCAATAGCCCCCAAACTTTTAAAACTTTGAGTTCAAAGTCTCTCAACATGCTCAAGGAGACGCAATTTGGTGAGTGATTTTTACATGCATTGTATTCAGAAGAGTTCAAAGTTTAATATTCCCACTGCACCAAGGTGCGACTTTTTGCACATGCTGAAAAAATAAAACATTTGAGAAAAAAAGTGTGATAAAATAGCTTAATCAAGCTATTCTGAATAGCTTAATAAAGCTATAAAGCTAAATCAAGCTATATAGCTTAATCAAGATGTTGTGCCGGACCTGTGAAAGTAACATTTAATGATAGCAGTTGAAAATTTCAATTGTTCTAGTAGTGGTAGAAAATGTACATATTGCCAATCAGGGGGTTCATTCTGAGTAAAATACATGCAGGGAGAATTATGGTTTTGGGTAGAATTTCAGTATTTCTTTGTCAAAATTGAGACATCTTTATTTATTCAGAGAACAAAATTGTCTGATTTTAGAAAGTTGATTTGTGAATTGCAGCATTCAAATACAAAATTAAGTAAACTAAATTTTATGTTAATTTTTGACTTTGATGAGAAATTTTACCAAAAATGTCAAGGGAATAAAAAAAAATGTAAACTTGAAAAAATAAATTTAACATAGTTTGTTCTAGACTTGAAATTTGAGAGAGAGAGAATACTTTGTTGAAATTTTTATTTTAAATGAAAATCAAGTTCTATGTAAATTGATAAACCTGTTGAACCCATTAACTTTCTACTCAGCTCACAGGGAATAAAAACCCAAAGCTTATTGTCTCATTCTGTGCACACTAAATTATTATCTGATATAATTTTTTAAAATCTTTTTCCAGCAATGGCAGAAACACCTAATGAGTTTAAGCTAAAGAATGCCCCTGATGATGGGATTTCTGCGGTTAAGTTTGGCACGACCAATCAGTTTCTCTTGGCTTCTTCCTGGGATTGTACCGTTAGACTGTATGATGTCATCGCCAACAACATGAGAATCAAGTACAACCATGCTGAGCCTGTGTTAGACTGCTGCTTCTATGTAAGTCAGTGAAGTGTCATCTAGACCATACTTGGGGCTGTAACACTTAGATGAGCTCACTTTTGATTTCAAATTCAGTCTCACTGTTTTTTTTTTATTAATATTTTCTTTTGATAAAGTGAAATCCTGTGACTTTTGGGCATAGGAGCCAGGATTTAAATTTCTTTATTTACATTAGACCTAAAGAATATAAATGAAATAGATTTGTTAGTAATGAGTTAAGCTAAGGACAAGAAACTTATAAATGTACAGAAGTTAAAGGGGATTATAATATGTTGGTAATTTGAAATTAATTATAGATATATTTTCATTTTGATTACATTGTGAATTTATTGCTTCAGTTTGATTTGATCTTTCTAGGATGCAGTGCACTCCTACAGTGGGGGACTAGACTGTACTCTTAAAATGTTTGACTTCAACACTAGCACAGGTATGTTATCAAAAGATACAGAAGGTATATTTTTACTGTATTTAAAATGAGTCTTTTCTTTACTAGTAATTGTATATATCTACAGTCAACAACTGTTTAAAAAGTACAACCAGTTACAAATGCTGAGTGACAGCATATAAATTTGTATTCTTAACTCCAAAATAAAAAGGCCAAAAATAAAATGGACTTTTTGTTAAGTGTTTAAATCGCAAATATTTTAATGAAAATATTTCAAAAGCAAATATTTTACTTATCCTAAAATATCTCCTTGCAATATATCATAAACTATTTGGAGTTGTCTCTCCTCTGATATGGGACATTTGTAAAATAAATGCATCTTAGTCTTGCATTAGAATCAATTTCTTTAATAATATACATTAATTCTGAAAATCTGAAATTCTACATATTTCCTGACTCTAAATGTCTATTCTGTATTCAATGGAGTTCATTGAGTAAAAAACAAATTAGAGGTAGAGCAACAGTTGATCATCATATAAATCAAGTCACACCTTTGAATTTAAAATGTAGTTTTAGTAAAGGATACACTATAAATTTCTGTACAGAACAGAATGTAGGTCAGCATGACGATCCTATCCGTTGCGTGGAGTACTGTCCGGAGGTTAACGTCATCATCACGGGAAGCTGGGACTCCACGGTCAAACTCTGGGACCCCGGGCGCCGTGTGCTGCGGGCTCCTTCAGTCAACCCGACAAGGTATTCTACAAAATTCAGATAAATGATAAAGGTTTGCTTAATTTTAGTATTAAAACATTATGTCGAGGATTTGCCATTTAATACTTCCAAATTTATGCTAATAAGGATTTGCCACTGTACAATTCATGTAAACTCTTAAAAAAGGAGAAAGTTGAAATTTGTATTGTGAAAGATGCTGGAAAGACTTTGCATCATAATGTTGACTTGTACAATAGAAAACCACTAGTTGATACTTTTAAATGAGGAGAATATCTATATATGTACTGGGATATTTGTCAGAAAGTCTGTCCTAATCAGTGTCACTATCTTGACTTTTATGGCAGGTATACACAATGTCTGTGTGCGGGGATAGACTTGTGGTCGGTACTGCTGGACGACGGATCCTGGTTTGGGATCTGAGGAACATGGGATATGTCCAGCAGCGAAGAGAGTCCAGTCTCAAATATCAAACTCGCTGTATCCGATGCTTCCCAAATAAACAGGGATATGTACTCAGCTCTATAGAGGGTAAGCTTGGACAGAAGTGGTGTAAATGTAAATTTTAAAGAGCTCAGAAATTGTAATAATGAAAACATGGATATGCTATGTTTAGATCTACAACTGATCTTTGACAGGAGTATTATATTTATTATTTAAGGGAGAGTTGCCGTGGAGTATTTAGACCCCAGTCCAGAAGTCCAAAAGAGGAAATACGCATTTAAATGTCACAGAATTAAAGAGAATGGCGTGGAGAAGATTTACCCTGTTAACGCTATCGCCTTCCACTCACATCACAACACGTTTGCATCTGGAGGATCAGATGGATTTGTCAACATCTGGGACGGATTTAACAAAAAGAGACTTTGCCAGTTTCATAGGTGAAAAGAAATTTTCTTTAAATAGATTTTATCCTGGAAAAAAAAACAGCAGTATTCGAATATGGAAATTTAAGCCAAGAAATTAATATTATTTCCGAATTTCATTGAAGATACAATTACAGTGAGATACTGTCATATTACTTAATATACACACTGTGTTATTTTTATAACTTTTCCCTCTTACACCTGAGTTTTTATGTAAGCCCAAAAATTTATATTGAATAGCATATTAACATATGTGAATTTCCTTGAAAATATTAATAATAGCTGCATAATTCAATTAAAACATGATGTCATTTATATAACATTTTGCTCTTATATTGAGTTCATGTAACATTTCTTTGCAGGTACCCCACGGGGATAGCATCATTAGCTTTCAGCCCTGACGGTTCTGTGTTAGCCATTGCGTCATCCTACATGTACGAGAATGACGAGCCAGTGGAACCAACAGAGGATGTGATCTATATCAGAAACGTCAGCGACCAGGAAACCAAGCCAAAGTCATGATGTCAAGGTCATTAGACCAAGGTCATGGTTGTATAATGTGTTCAGAGGGAGAGATCACAGGAATTTTACATAAAAACTTAATATTGACTCAGTGACTTCATTATTACCAGGATAAATGATGTTATTTTTTAGTCATTTGTCAATGACCTCTAGTGACTGTATTGTTGTTAGCAGGACAATGTACGGCCATTTCTTCTGTAATTTGTCAATTTCAGTGTTTTAACAATTCCTGAGTGAGGAACTTCATGTTTTATACATTTTGTGTCACTTTCTTATTAAAATCGATGTTTGTAACTTTATTTCCTTTATTTCTTTATGTCTGATTCTTCAAGTAGACTAAGTTATGTAAAGTTCTTTTAACTCTGATCTTAGCTGCAGATCTGTAGCTCACAGATCTGAAAAAAAAATAGGATGGACAACCAGAGAGCTTCAGTGCCACCTTTCAAAAAAAGTGTATACTTTTTGTGTACTAGAAAGGTCTTATCACAGGTAAAACACATGGAATATGAAAGCCCTATCTCTTCTCATTCAAAAAGTTATGACCAAGGTTAAAATTTTTGAAAAAAAAGATGTCAAATTTTAAGGTCACAGGTAAAAAATCATAGCGTATTAAGAAAGGTCTTGTTACAAGTAATACATATGAAATATGAAAACCTTATCACTTTTCATTCACAAGATACACATGTATTACCAATTTGAAGGTTAAAGTTTTAAAAGTAGGTCAAACTTCATATGCCCTGTTTGCGAAGAATACACATATGAAGAATGAAAGCCCTAGCACCAACAATTCAAAAGTTATGGACAAGGCTATAGTTTGGAATTCTTGTGTAAAAGTGGGTCAAACGTGATGGTCAAGAGGTCAAAGTTGGTGGTTCCTAAAAAATGTTTTTCACAAGGAATACATTTGTGAAATATGAAAGCCATAGCCCAAACCACTGACTCAATAGTTATGAGCAAGATTTTTACATGACCACAATTAGCCAAACTGCAAGCATCTTCATACTGTGCAGATTGAAATTTGTTCAATGTATTAGCTTCATGGTACAAGTATTTGGTTGAGTCACAAAAGTAGACTAGTTTTAGTGACACACAGAACATTTCATGAAGAACATAAGTTTCTAATTGGTCAGATTGAAATCAAGGACATACACAACATGCAAGTACAAAGTACTATAAGATGTTCTAGTTTTGACAGGATATAAAATAATGAAGATCCTGGTATGCTTAATTTTAGAGAAAATTAAGCATTAATATAGTTTCAGCTGGTATAAATTTTAATTTACAGGATGTGTGCCCCCACCCCCCCCCCCCCCTAATTTTGCCGATATAGTACACCGCAGAAAAGTTTTTAAGCATAGAAACATTACCATATAAAATATTACCATATCTGCTTGTGCCCCCTCAAGAAAAACGTCTGATGTCTTTTTTTGCTTGGCATGAAAGTTTTGGTAGTTGATAGGGCCGCCAACTGAAAAATATGGTTGCCCCCCCCCCCCCAAAAAAAAAGAAATTGCTTCCTGCGGGCGTAAATTGGAACTTTTAAATTATACAGGGAAAAGAGCTTTACGTTTAAAAAATGTGCACAGATAGACTATAAATTACCCATTAATTTTCATGAACTTGTTAGCTTGGGCAACAATATAGGGTGTCAAAATTTTAAAAGTGGAATGTAAAACTAAAAATTTTTTCTTTTTTTTAAATTGGAGAAATTAGGGATCTAGTGTTACCGAGCTCTAAAATTAATTCTTTTATTACTTTATTAGATAAGACACTTCTGTTTATTAAACAATTTAAATCATTAGCGTCAAGTTTAAAACTGGTGAAAAGGTAAATAACGGCATATATCAATATCTTTAATCGTGTATTTTTTTTTTCTCAGGAACGCCTTATTTATACCTTCAATATCTAGTTTTGTAGAATTCAAAAGAATATCTCATGTTTACATGTTGTAGCATATACCTGTGTGTTTGCATTTCATTGCTCATCTAGGTGTCATATTGAATAAAATTAAAGTCCGACATCACAATCGCTATCATAATTATCTTACTTGCATGCTAAAACTAGGACATTCAGGTAGGCAACACCCGACAAACATGGCTGCCAATACCACCAAAAAATATCCACTGGGCTCTCCTCAAGAGCACATTGAAATGTGTGGAACTCATGAATTACCTATTGACATGATATGTGAGGACTGTGATGAATTTATTTGTGGTGATTGCGCAAAATCAAATCATAGAGATCATAACTGGAAAACCATATCCACGGCAGCCACCCAAAGGAGGAGAGGTCTGCTGAAATTTTTGAAGAAGATTAAGGAAGAAAATCTACATACACTTGCTGAGAAGCTAAAGAAGATTCCACGACAGATCACAGAAAATAAACAACTATGCGATTCTGAGATTAAAAGACTACAGAAGCATTACGAAGATATAATAGCCAGGCTGACAGAAATCAGAATACGGCATGAAAAGACAATGAAAGACAACTTGATTAAAAAGAATGATGAGCTGAATCATGTGAAATCTGAGTTAGAGAAGACGAAAAGAGGAATTGTTGACACAGTAGAATTCATGGAGGAGAACAACAGCACCATGTCTGATTACAGCTTGATTGACAACCACAGAGAATTGACAAAAATGCTGTCTGAATTAGAGGTTCATATAACAAATTGCGAACATTCAGTGAGGTTCGTTAGAGGTGAAATCAATGAAGACCTTCTTGCACCTTTGGTTGGAAGAACTTTGAAATTTAGATGTTATTGGTGTTACTCAAATAAACTCCTTTCAATATGGAGATAAAGCAATGCACGGTTTGGGGTCAATCAGTGAAGACCAATGTTACATACATGAAATAAATTCAAAATACATAGAAAAAATCAATAGGCAAGGCATAAAAGAACATAGATTTGGTATTTTTCCTAATGACATGTGTGTGACTGATAATGGTGATGTTTATTTCACTGACGTAAGTAACAATTCCATCAGCTGTCTGTCACCATCAGGATCTGTGTCGACAGTCATCAGTACAGATCCACTGGTACCATATGGAATCTGTAAGTCAGTGGACGGAGGACTACTGGTCACCTTAACAGATGAGGTATCAGATGATCACAAATTAGAGTCTCACAGCAGACGTCTGGTGAGCCACATCACAGTGACAGGTGATGTCATCCATGAGTATGAGTACCAGGAGGACGGTCAGACTAGACTGTTTACAGAGCCATACAGTGTCACACAGAACAGTAACAGTGATATCTGTGTTGTGAATCGTAAAAGTCACACTACTCGTGAACTAGTGATTTTGTCTCCGTCTGGTCGTATGAAGTCTGTCTACCGTGGACAGAACCTGGCAGAGAACTTTTGTCCACATGGTGTAGTGTGTGACTCCCTCGGTAATATCCTTGTTAATGACCCACGGAACAAACAGATCCATCTACTGAGTCCTGACGGGGAGTTCCTGAAGTTCTTACTGACAGACAATGAAGTGAACTATCCCTCCACACTGTCCCTATACAAATCTACACTGTGGGTGGGGTGCTTGCGAAGGAGTTGTCAAAGTGTTTCAGTACAGGGTGTAGAAATAGAATATACCAGACTGGACTAAACAACAAGCATCTTTTAAGTATTATGTCATAAAAATTATCAAAAAGTAAACCCATACAAGTACAGTGCATACACTTGATGATTCACTGTATGTTGTTTAACGTCCCACTCGGGAATCTTTCATATGGAGATGTCGCCTACACAGTCAACACTAGTTATCAAAATCGTTTAATTTTGCTTTACATTACATTTTAATTTTGTATAATTTAATTTCACTTGTATCAAGCAATTTTATTTGCTGAATCATTCTGAGGAACATATAATATTTTGTATAACATAACTTGCTCACGTCACAATGAGTTACGTCAAAAACGTATTACTGCGCTTGACGTTATTTTTATAATAATGCTCAATTTAAAGTTTTTTTTCCGGAGGAAAAATTATCTCAGTGTCTATACTGAAATTAAATTATAAGGAATGAAGCTTATTTCAACTTATGTTATCCGATTTAACAAAACTTGGGGCAGTTTACGCTTTCTTATAAACCGCTTCGAGGTTTATAAAGCGTAAACTGCCCCAAGTTATGTTATATCGGATAACATAAGTTGAAATAAGCTTCATTCCTTAAATAAATTTTCCTATTATCAGATTTATATATCAGTTTTACTATTTAACTTTAAAATACTGAATCAAACCAATTATAAAAGCTTTATATTTATAATCTACCAGGATAGAGCTTTCAGGTTTTCTCATAGACCTTAAAATTTTAGTTAATTTATTTTCATTCATTATTTTATCATGAATTTTGACAAGTATGGTAATAAAGAAGAGTCGTCTTAAAAAATTTGTTTTACGTTCTCAAGAATCCAGGGGGTGGGGGGATTACATAGGAGGCATCAAACGTCCAGCCTAATTCAACCCCATTACCCACTTCAAACCTTTGATACACCCAAATTGGCATGCTAGTATTTGTATTGTTTTTAATTTTGTTTCATGTATAGTGTTCCAAAAGTTTAAAAAAAACATGTTGATTTTGACTAAAATCTTTATTATCAAATTGTCTTTGAAGTTATTGCCTGATTAGGTAGTAAGAAAGATGTACACATGATCATTGATAAATAATACACAATTTAGTTTTATTCTGACAAAATCGCGTCAATACGGAATGAAATGCATTGTAAAAATAAAAACTCAAATTTCGAGCAATCAGCTGCATGTAAGATATCAATCTGTATATACAACACTAGGTCAATCCAAAATTTTCTTTATTAAATGAAATATAATATATAATACAATGTAGGTAGCGACAAATACTGCACGGAAAAGAAACCAAGAGACGGGGTAAAATTTTCAAGTAATATTTATAGCTACTTGTTCGATCGAAGGTATTTCTCAGTTTTTGTACACGTGTACAATTGAAATCATTTCATCAACAAGTTACCAAAAGCTCATTGAGTTTGAATGATAATTCACGAGCTATTGAAACTCAATAGATTGTAGGCCACCAACCATCAATGAAAAAAATGTCATCTTTATCTAACACAACATTGAATCTCATCAACATGGACTTCTTCAGTGCATTAATCTTTCTCATAGGAATATTATTCAGCCTTTCCCACAGGGTAGCTCCTAGTTAGTCAAGAACAACGAGGCTATATATCGATGAAGTTCAAACCCATTTCGATGATGTGCATTTATTTTTTTGAGATGTGCGTTTGTCATTATATGATTTACTTTGTGAATTTCCTTATGTTACGTAGTTTTGTCATTAAGTGATGTGATTTAGTCATTATGTGGTGTACATATTTCATAATATTATGTACTTTCGAAAGTTTATATACTAGTATACGTTGTGTTCAAAAGTCATTGTATGTGATGCAAACATCTTTACTTGAAGTGCAATTTTCATCGTTTTGGATACGTATTTTCTCTGTACATATGCAACAAATATATGAATTAAAAAATTCAGACATAATAATATCATTTGAAAGTTATTCTTATCACTTAGGCAATTAACTAGTAAAGTCTTATTTTAAATCTGAAGCATCTGAGGGTATATTTGAAATGAATTGTGAAATGATTGTATAACGTGTGCCATTGGTTTGTTGAAGAGGTTCTTGCATGATTATCTTACAAGTCGATCACAAAGGTTAAAATAAAATCATCAAGTTCTTCGGTGGGAAGAACCAAAGAAGGAGTTCCCCGGGGTTTTGTTCTGGGGCCTTTACTTTTTCTAGTTTATATAAATCATCTGCCATATCCACTCCATGGTCTCTGTAGACTATTTGCGGATGATACATCTGTGTCAAATACCTCCAAAAATATACAGGACTTAGAAAGATTTACTAATCTTGACTTCCCGCACTATGGTGTTTGCCTCTAAATACACACTCCTTCATATTGGACTTTCCAAGGAAGAAGTCAAAATAATTCTATAATTATCACCGTACATGTATTCGTCAAATTGAACATAAAATTTTCAGGTGACCATATGATCTATGAGCCTCACATATGTATTTTGAATACTTAATTCATTACCAGTCTGAAATAACAGAATTTAATTAATGATTGAAGTAAATTACTTAATTAGATTCAGATAAATATTTTGCCCATAATTTGGAACTTTTTAAATTTACTTTCTCAACGACATAAAATATTATTTTAGTACAAAGCGTTTTTGATGAATTTATCAAAATGTGCAAACTGATTTTAGTACTTGGTCGGGAAAAAAACCCATTGAAAATACAACCCGATTAATTTGTCAATGCCTATCTCTCTCTCTCTCCCCCCCCCCCACACACACACACACACTCTCTCACTCTCACATTTTTTAAAAATAGACCTAGATGGCAAAGTTATGTTAAAACATAGTTTATTATGATAGTTTGAAATTTGTTCTTGTACTAAACAGTTTTACGTGTGAACATCTTATTTTCTACATTCACATTGGGTTTGCGTCACCCATTATCATATTTATATATCACCTCTCGGCACACCTCGGCCGATTCATACTGGCAACGGAATCAGCAAAGGTTTGTCGAATGAGATTATTTAGCACATGTATGCTGACGATGCAGTGTGGTCAGTTAAAATCATTTGTGTTTTAATTGGATTATATGGATTATATTTCATGAATTCGTTGTCACGACCTATGACATTCGGTAAGTACAAGATTTAGTATAGATTGCATAAAAATAAATAAATGCAAATGGTTAGGTTGAAGTTCAAAAAGGGTCAAAGATCATCGCATGCCACAGTCGACAAATTTCACATTGTCAAGTTATCTCCCGTTGCGGACATTCAGTATATACAGGCGCAGATCCAGAATTTTTTTTTCAGAAAGGGGGGGGGGGTGTGTCACACCTCAGTCAAAAAAATCAGCCCAAGATTTCCTGAGAAGCAAATAAAAAATAATAATAAAAACAATGATGGTGGAGTCCCTGTTTTCTAAGGGGGAGGATGTCCAAAGTCATTTTTATTCTCTACAGTACATAGTCTTATTTAAATAACTGCTAATTCCAGGGGGTGGGGGGTGGGGTGGGGTGTGTGTGTCTGATCTCCCTAGCCACTGACTCCCTGTACCTGAAATGACAATTGATCTTATGACTCCATAATAGTAGAAAATTTTTTCATTTGACTATATATACATATTTTGTTTCCTATGTTTATGTATGTTTGTCTGTCCACAGAAACTTTAACCTTGCCCATAAGTTTTAAGTGGATTGGGCTATACACATGGCTTCAATATTTCATAGGTAAATTTCTTTTGGCAAAACCTTTTAATGGGTACCACCAATTTTGACCTCTTGATCTCTTGACCTTGGAGTTTGACCCACTTTTACAAGAAAAATACCTTAAACTTGGCCTAAGTTTTGAACAGGTGGTGCTAGGACTTTCATGCTCTAACATGTGTAATCATTGTGAACTTTCAACAGGTATAATTATTTTTGACCTAGACCTTAGAGTTGAACCCAATTTAACTTTAACCTTGGCAATAACTTTTGAACAGGTGAGGAAGTTCTAGGGATTTCTCTCTTTTTTCACATGTGTATTCCTTGTGACAAGACTTTCCCTTTGATACCAACAATTTTGACCCTTTGACCTTGACCTTGGAGTTTGACTTACATTTGAGAAACTTCAACCTTTGCCAAAAGCTGCCATAACAGTTGCTGTCACAACAAACAAACAAATTACTAAAAAAACACAGTATACATGTACATATTTTATATTCAACAGATATACATCTGGTCATATCTCTAGTTCTCCCTTGAATGAGACATGGTGATATAAATTTTAAAAAATAATTATGATAAGAGTTGAAAAGGTTGTGCATATTAAAATATACTAAGCTCTGCGGATGAATTAGATATACCAGTTTAGCTTTATTTTGCTACCCAAAGCACCTTGATTAACTATTTATAAGCATACTGTTTTCTGAAATGTACTGATTTCTGTTGTCCATCTGTTTGTCTGCAAACTTTTCACATTAACTTCTTAAGAACCACTGGGCCAATTTCAACCAATTTACATTTAAATATGCAGGGGACTTTTTCCAACATAAATCTTCTTCTCAAGAACAGCAAAGACATTTATTGTCCCCCATTTTCGCTAAAGGTAGGGTACATTAAATCTCATTTGTTTGTCAATCTGCCCATCTGTCACAATAAATTTAACCTTGGTCATCATGGTCATATATTTTGAATGAGAAGAGACAGGACTTTTATATTAAACATGTGTATTAGTATTAAATGGGACAATACCATTCTAAATACACTATGATTTTTATTACCCATGACCTTGAAGTTTGACCTAATTTCATAAACAAATTAATTGCTTTGAATTGATCATTTTGAAAGATAAATGAAAGGGCATTCATATTACCTGTGATAAGACCTTTCCAAATGTATCATGACTTTTTGACTCTGTGACCTTGACCTTGAAGTTTAACTTAGTTTTCATTAATGTTGTATTTCCTTTTCATTGAGAAGAGATTCGACTTTCACATTTCAAGTGAACATTACCCATAACAAGATGTTTCCCAACATGCTATGATTTTTTACC